AGTATCATTCTCCTCCGGAGATAGCCCCTGACAGGAATGGCGGGCCTGTTAAGTATCATTCTCTCCGGAGATATCCCCTTCATGGCCATCGGCCCCATGTTGCATCACCTGTGCCCTGGACCGTTCCCAGATGAACAGGTTCGTTTGTTCTTAGGACCCCGTTCTGAGACACCCCAGCACCCCAGCTATGGGCAGCCACCTCTACGCGGTGCTGGGGACTAGTACTTGCCAGAGTATATCCACTCATGACGCAAGGAAGCTAAGATCTGCTCGCGCCATGCCGTCGGTTCTTACCAGCATCGGTGCCACATCGTGCATCACGGGCAGAATGGAGGCCCGTATGGAACGGAGGTCCGTATCCGTCAATGCCCGCTGCTAGTCATGTACATACAGTAGTTACTTTCATTTTAGTGGTACAATGTATACAGTATTCACTCGAAATAGATCCCATCTGTAGTATATCCTCGTCCTACACAATACAGTACATAACGCAAAGGATCAATGACGTCGCGAGAGCTGGGTAACTTCCCCGGTTCGCTTCGGTCAAGCAACCGTGAGTCGGCGTATGTCTGCTTCAAACCGATTGCTTGTTGCATACAGTAGTTTGCAAAACTACCATGCCTACCCCTTGACGCTCTGCCTCTTTCCTAATCCCTAGCCTTTCTGCGCTAGTCCTTATGCGTTTAGTTTGTATGTCAGACTCCTTGGCGCTGTTGGTCCCGTTTTGTAAGTATGATAACATTACTTCCCTGATGTTACAGTACGTGTAGATGTATGACAGAAATCTAGAAGCTTCCATGTCCGGAAAAACGCTCAGGTGGCCACATTTGTATTGCTTTTGGCTTCTCCAAACCACTTCACAGTTCCTATACCATGGTGCAGAAAATAGTACAGCGATGTCTCCACACCTATCGCCAGGACAGATTCAGCCTATCTTGATATGCAGTCAGTCGCGGCATGTCAAGCTCGGAGGCCAGTGAAGCTGCCGAGCGCAGGAAGCAGGCGGTCAAAAAGCATCTAGCCCAAAAATCTTGAAGTCTTCAAATCCCTAGAGACCCCCAACATAGGTTAGGCCAGTCCAAAGAGACAGTGCAAGAAGAGTAACATCGCGAATGAGTCTAATGATCCCAGGTCTATTCTACACAGTGATTACGAAAGACGCCGAACTAAAACAGGAATGATTTGATTATACGGTGCTTTGATTCTTATATACGAGATACCCTAACCGTCGATATACTCAGAGCAAGTGTGGACTTCATGACGGCACGGCAAGCAGAGATGAGATACAGTACTAACCCGAAATACCTTTGATAGTTTGCCTTTCGTCTAACTATCTGCTGAAGACCAGAAAGCTCCGTCTAAGTCCCACTTCGGTTTGTTCAACTTGAGCAATAAAAGAGTCATCGTACTATCGTGCTGCTTTTGTCAAATGACAGGGAAAAGAGGGAAACGGCCAGGTCACAGAAGCTTCCCAGGAATACTTCCTTTCGAGACGTAGCATGCTCGCACTCGCCCAACTCCCAGCCTTTCATACTCTTCCTTTCCCGATGTTCTTTGTACGGCAAGTATATAGTATTCCTTGTTAGGGTCATCCTTATCGTCATCTTGACTCATTGCGATGACGACACAGTTTCGAGACTCAACCTCGGCCGCCGAACCCATGTCGAAATGTAGGATGCCGACTTCGACTTCCTTCGTAGCTTCGACTTCCGTTGTAACTTCGACCTTCTTTGTCTTGGTGAATATTATATGCTCTCCATCCCTTTCTCGCGTATAACAATCTTCAAGTTGTCGAACTTCGATATTGATGCCGCGCTCGGAGTTGTCAAAGCTTAGGCTTTGGTGCCTTGGGACTTGAAGATCCGTTTGTGACAGAAAGTCAATTTTACCATTATAAAGCATCCAAGACCACGACGGCACACGATCATCGTCGTAAAAATTTGATCATTACCCATTCCAGCCCGCTTCCACAAGAGGAGCCGAGGAAGAAAGCAACGGAAGACACCGTATCTGACTTCAGTAGCTAGAGCTTCCTTAATACGCTCAGCTATGCCGGAAAATGCAACTACCTTATCCTTTTCCGGAAAGGTAAGATCACGACGAGAGTAGTCCGTGATAAGCTCTTGGAGAAATAAGGCTACAGATTTATAACCTGCGATTACGAGCCGCTCAGGAAACCGTGAGTCAAGTAGATATAATCTAGTAATAGGACTAACATAATTGGTAGGTCAACCGATATTCCTCTGACTTTAGGGAAGCGGACTTACCATCTTAATGTGGTGAAATTTTCGCACCGAACTCCCCTTCCACATTCCCAGTATGTCTGTTGTGCAGTGAAATAAATAGTTCGTCGAGAAAGCGCTCTTTCTTGCAACACCCAGGCCCGTGTATGCAGTTGGCCTTCATCAACAAGCTTACAGAAGTCATCAATGTTCTTTTGACCAAGGGAATTGACTACCTCTGATTGACAGAAATCCTGAGTGCGATTGAGGAAGCCATCATTCCAACCGGATGCTGAACTTGACGCGATCGTGCAGTATGCAGAGGCAAATACTTTGTCCATCCTTGCACCTTCCTCCTCCCAGTCTTTCTGGTCACCTTGAATGATGCAGAGAGCATCAATCGAAAGATACTGCTTGTTCAATTCTCGGGTCACTGTAATAGCGTCCTGGAAAACTTTTGGAAGGCTGTGATAGCTGAACCCCTCTAGTCGTTTCTCGTAGTTCCGAGGTGTGGTACGGAATTTCTCCATCTCCTCATCGGTCGGCTTGCCCCAGCAGTGCGATAGCGTTATATAGTCAAATGGCTGTGTTATGTGTGCGGACTCCTGGAGTTGCAGGTGATCTGAATGATCTGTTCCAACGAAAATAACGCGCTTTGGCACGACCTGACGCCTTTCCTGCATGCATGAATGCTGCTTGTCACACAGCCCAAGCCACTGACGAAGCACATCAAAGCGATTGATGATCAGCAAACGATGTGTATATCCTGAATTTTTGTATTTCTTTTGCAGATCTGCTCATAAGTTTGTATTAATAAGAGATGAAAGTACCAAAGAAAGGGGCCTGTTTACCTAAGTAGCTGGAGATATGGAAAGTGGACGACTGGCGTCGGTCTATGCTGATATATGCATTGTCTATGGCTCGGTGAACCAAGTAATGGCTAATAGTTTCAGAATCGTGTTTAGAACGGAAATATTGCTTGCTTAAAGTCAGAATATTTCGGGTTCGAAGTATTGAACATACACATACTCTGAAAGCGGTTTTTGGATAGCCGAGCAGCATGCGTGTCCCGAGTATGAATTTATTCTTACAACCAGCAATGAGGTTCGTGACTTCAGTATCAGTTCCGCACGACCATTGATTCTGACGTTATAATTAACAACACAGAAAGGGACAGAGGACAGCCATAGCAGTCATGACTTGCTTTAAGACGGGCCTGACTTACATACTACACCAATATCATATCCCTGTCAGCTATTACCGCATCCAAG